TAACATTGGTGCATTGCATTTTCCTTTTAGTTTGTAACTTTAATTAACTTTGAATTGGATTTTTCTTTTTTGTTGTAACTTTAATTCATTTTACTTTGCATTTTCCTTTTTGTTTATAACTTTAAAGGATTTGGAATTGGAATGCTTGGAATTGTAACTTTAATTTTCTTAGGTTGTGAATGCTTGAGAAGTTGAAGAGATTGTGAATTTATATATGTTTAAGAAATTGAGGTTGTGTATTTATTTATTTAGGTTGTGAATTTATATATTTTGTGAATGCTTGAGAACTCGCGGTTTTAAACCGCTAATTCGCGGTAACCGACCGCATTTTGCGGTTTACCGCAATGCGGTAAACCGCAAAACGCGGTCGGTTTGCGGTTTCAAAAATCACCAAACCGCAAATAGTCGGTCGGTTTGCGGTTTGAGTAAAAATTCGCGGTTACCGAACCGCAACCACCCCTAATACCATCCATATGGTTATTATAAGGGAATATTTACCTTTATACGTGAGTTTAGATTCTATTGTAAATAACCAACGGGTATAGTCTAGTGAAAAAGCGCCTTAACTTACATACTAACAGTCTCAGGTTTGAATCTTTATGACACTTTAATAAATTGTGTGAGAAACCCATTATTCTCGTAATTTAAACTATAGCTTATATTTATTTTAAAAAAACCTCTATTGTACTTCTCAATTACGATCTTCTTAGTAAATGAAACAGTAAAAAATGTTAATTTAATTAAATAATTGGGATAGGTCAAACTTTATTAAGGAAAGTTTAGGGGTTCAAGAGTCGAAAGATGCTGCTGTATTCACATGCATTTTCTTCTCTCAAGCCGATCCTTGACTAGTAGACACACATACAATACGAAAAGAAGAAAATAAATCAACGCAGTAAGCCACAAGCCATTCATGTTCCAGGGTCCATACCATAATTTGTCTTATATTTCTTTCGTTTTCCCATGGAGGTTGAAATTTCGGCTTGTCACTAGAAAGATAAGTCCCAATAAACCTCGAAAAACAAAAAATTAGCTCACTCTAGATCTACACGTGGCTATGTCATGGCTCAAGTTCGAATATCTCCTCTCTTTTATAATTTTTTATTTTTTTAAAAAATTAGCTCACTCTAGATCCATACGTGGCTTTGTCATGGCTCAAGTTCGAATATCTCCTCTCTTTTATAAATTTTTTTATTTAAAAAAGGGTTCGAAAAGTTGTTAGACTGATATCTAAAACACATTATCTTGTTTGGTTTCTCTGCATGGTTAGCACTAAGACGATTAAAATGTAAGATGGGGGGCCATGACTCATAACATAACCCCGTTATGGTATGGCAGTCTATGTATTAGGCAAGATCACTAATAAGCTATATGGATGAAACTAAGCCAATAATGT